TACAAGCACTCCCCTCACCACTCTTGGCAGTCCACTGTGGATATTGGCCAACACCATAATCTTCAGACCTACACCCAGCTTACCAACCAGAGGCAACATGTCATGGTCATTTTGCCCACCCTGTTAGCCCCATCATTATCCCAGGTAGTTGGGCAATTGAGTCCCTCTCACTGAGAGCTTAGACCTTCCTACATAAAAGACAGTTTTTCCACACAAGAGCAGGCTTTGTAGTAGCTTAAGGGGTAGAGTACCTACCTAGCAAGCACAAGGCTGTGAGTTGAAACCCCAGTACCAGAAGAAAGAAAGAAATGTGAGTAGTCAGGATCTTTAACACTGGGATTCAGCAACTTCCTTAGCTGATTCTGTACATTTGATGTACATTCAGCCAAATGTGGTGGCACACACCTGTAAGGCGAAGATCAGAAAGATCACAGTTCAAAAGTTCACAAGACCCCATCTCCACCACTGGCTGGGCACGATGGCACACACCTGTCATCCCAGCTACAGAGCAAAACACAAAGAGGGGGTACCACAGACCAGACCTACCTGGGCACAAAATGAAACCTAGCTCAAAAATAACCAAAGCAAAAAGGGCTGGTGGCATGGCTCAAGTGGTAGTGCACCTGCCTAGAGAGGTTCTGAGTTCAAACCCTCATACCAAAAAAAAAAAAAAAAAAACCTCTGTTAACACACATACTTACCACGGCTTGGGACTTGGGATTCATTCTGTGATGTTCAACTAAGACTCAAGTGATGACACTTCCTCCACGTCAATTTGTGATTACAGATAGTGGCAACTCCTATTTCTATAGGGCAAGTAAAGATGGTTACTTTATGTCATCATGTGTTATTTATCAGAAAGACAGCCAGAATTAAAGAACACCCAAACTTGTGCCTCTCCAATGTAGTCAGGTTTAACAAATAGAGACTCTGGACCCCCCCAGAGCACCAGCCTACAAAAAATCCCATAGTGCACCATTCCAAACACCAGCAGTATGATGGGAGCAGGAAGAGCATATTACTAAACCATGACTTTCATCCTTGAGCTAAAATCAAGCAGTCACATCAGTTTGGGGGGTAGTTAGTTTTTGTTGTTTTGGTTTTTTTGGTGGGACTAGAGTTTTGAACTGAGATCTTCACACTTGCAAAGCTCTACCCCTTGAGCCATATGTACCTCCAAGCCTTGTTTTGTTTTTTGAACAGGCTGGCCTTGATCTTACAGTCTTCCTACTTCAGCCTCCTGAGTGCTGGGACTGCAAACATGTATCACCACAACCAGCTACTGAAAGCTTCTGACAGTTAAAACTTCTTTAACGTTTACTCTAGCCAGGTGCCAGTGGCTCACACCTATAATCCTAGCTACTCAAGAAACAGAAATCAGGGAGATTGTAGGTCAAAGCCAGTCCAGGCAAAAGGTTTAAGAGACTCTATCTCGAAAAATTCCATCACAAAAAAAAAAACGGCTGGTGTAGTGGCTCAAGATGTAGGCCCTGAGTTCAAGCCCCAGTACCACAAAAAAGAAAAAAAAAATTTTAATGTCCTCTTTACTCTGAGAGTAAAGACGACCCTCAGAGTGTATACTCTGGCAGAGTGGGTCAAGCAGTAGAGCACGTGCCCAGGCAAGTGTGAGTCTCCGAGTTCAAACCCCAGTACTGCCAAAAAGGGGGAAAAAGATTTACTATTTACTCCAGAGTTTGGAAACTACATTTTCTTTTTCCTTTGGAAACTACAATTTTGACAATTACATGTGCACTCAGATGTATTTTGCCAAGGTCATCTTTCCCAAATTGACAATTCAAATCTGAGTTTCAGCCATAGAATGGAGAGCTTTCAGGGGAGAGAAGATCTCAAGATAGAGAAATTGCCTTGCCTAAGTTTGGTTTGTGGGGGGGGGTTTGTTTTTGTGATGCTATGGATCACACCCAAGACCTTGCATATGGTATGCAAGTGCTGTACTCTAAGCTATACTCCTAGCCTCTTGAGTCTGTTTTTCTTAATTTTTTATTATATTATTATGGTAGTTGGGGTACATTGTGACATTTACAGAAGTGCTTACAGTATTTCTTAGTTAAATTCACCACCTCCATCATTCTCTTGAGTCTGTTTTTTAACACGTTGATGAGCCTTATTTTCCCTTTGTGGAAATATTTTTTTAGTTTTTCTTTCTTTTTTATTATCCTTTGTGGAAATATTGATTGATATATTCTGTTCATACCAAAAGTGGAAGCAGGATGTGCCAAGTTCATGGTCATTGGAGTTCTTAATTGCAAGCCATGGCAGCAGGGAAAGGCGTTCAAGTGGCATGTATTAGATCAGAGTTGCTTTCACTTGTGAATTTGAGTTTTCAACAGTTTTACAGAGGGAACCTATTGAATAAGAAAATAAAAACAATGAAACAAAAGTTCGGCCGTGATACTTCAAAAGAAAAATGGATGTCTAAATTTTTCTTATTGCTGACTTTTAAATTTTAACTATTTTAGAAAACTCGTTGGACTGTTGGTAGAGCTTTCCACTGACGTTGGCCCTCAGCAGATTAGAGCAAGACATTTTTGCTGAAAGTGTGGCTCGAGCAACAGAGCTCCTGCCTAGCATCTATGAAGCCCTGAGTTCAAGCCCTGATACTGGGGGGAAAAAAAGGTGGAACCTCATGTTAACATAGTTTTTAGTTTTTTACTCCTGAGAGAGAAAGAGACTTGTCCACAGAACTTAAATACAGCATCAAAGCTTTGCCTTCCGTTCTTTGGTTTGGTTATATTGAGGGGAGATGTGTACCAAGAAAAATTGCTAAAACCACCTAAATATGTGTATATTAATTGGAGAGAAAAGAAAATCTGCTTCAACAATAGTGTGTTCTCTGTGTGTTCCCATTTGACAGTCTTGCTTGCTATGAATCCAATAAAGAAAAACATTTCAGACAAGACTGGGTGCCTTCAGGATGGTATGGCCGTAGACTCCATAAAACATTTCAAAAGCTAGTACGTTAGATCATTCTGCACCTCCCCTTTCTGAGATCACCGTCTTCCAGTCTATGGAAAGTATATTCCCTGTCCTAATAAACTTTACTATTGCTTAAAAAATAACAATAAGCCAGGTGCCTATGGCTCACACCTGTAATCCTGTCTACTCAAGAGGTAGAAATGAGGAGGATCGAGGTTCAATGCCAACCTGGGCAAATAGTTAAGGAGACTCCATCTCAACAAATAGGCCAGGCAGTGAGATCACTGTCTGAGGCTGGCCCCTGTGGTGGTTGGGGGTGAGGGAAGCAAGGTCCTATCTGAAAAACAAAGCAGAAAAGGTCTGAGGATGTAGCTGAATTGGTAGAACACCTACCTAGCAGGTGGGAGGCCTGCCTCAAACCCCAATACCACTCCCCTAAAAAAAACTGTTAAGGGTCAGGCATGGTGGTACACATCTGTAATCCCAGCACAGGCAGGGTGATCAAGAGTTTGGGGCCAGCCTAGCTACATAGCCAGTCTAGGCTACATCAGGAGACCCTGTTTCAAACAAACAAACCAAAAAGAAAGCACTTCATGAGATGCTAAAGCTAACCCCCTACTTGAAAATATTGACCCTATACTTTTGTATGTGATGTGGAACTGGGGTTTGAACTCAGGGACTCACACATACTAGGCAGGCACTCTTCCACTTGAGCCACTCCACCATTCTTTTTTTGTGTTGGGTATTTTCAAGATAGGGTCTTGAGAACTATTTGCCCAGGCTGGCTTCGAACCAAACCAAGTGGCTCAAGTGGTAGAGTGCCTGCCAAGCAAGCTTCAATCTCCAGTACTGCAAAAATAAATAATTTTAAAAATCGTGCTAATAACTTCATGAGGTTGGTACTAAGCTTAACCCCATTTTGTAGATAAGGAAGCCAAGTCTCAGAAAAGCTCCACTTTCACACACAAGGAAGACAACTCAGAGAGGTCAAGTAACTGGCCTGTGGTCCCACAGGTAGCAAATGGTAGAGCTGAGATTTGAACCCATGTGACCTCACTATAAACTGAGGCTGGAGGGTGGCACAATAGTTCAAAAGGTGTCAGAGCCAGAAGGGAACTTGAGGTTGTATGTTCATCTGCTTTTTTGTACAGCTAGCACTTGGAGTGCTAGAGTAAATCCAAAACCTTTGCAATCAGCCAATCCCAAGTTTGCCACTTCTGAGCTCTTGGACATGTGACTGTGCCTTATCTTCCTCATCTATAAAGTAATAGTTGTGATTCTCACAGGATCATTTTAAGGAGCAAACAAAATTATATGAAATGCATGACCTGTGTCAGTAAATAGTAGCTGTTTTTATTGTAAGTATCATAATTTTTTTAGTCAGTGCTAGGAATTGAACCCAGGATCTTCACAGGCCAGGTAAGCACTCTGCCACTGAACTACAGGCCAAGCCCTATTATAAATATTATGATTACAAGCATGGTTGTATCAGAGAAGGAAGAGGGTTTATCTAACTCACATGAAGACAGAGCCAAGAGTTCAGCCTCACTCACCACTGGAGCATATGGAAAAAGACCACTTTGTCATGGGAGCCACCGTGATAGTGTCTGTGATCCCCAAGGTAAAAAGACAGATTGAACTTCATAACAGGCGTGCTCATTAATTACCATTATTACAAGCCTGAGGACAGTAGCACCTTCCCAAAGATCTCACAACAAAGGACATCCTTAATGAGGCCACTTAGCATTGTGAAGGTGAGAAAGACAATTATACCAGATGTCACCTTTGTTCTGTCATTCTTTTATTTACTCAGCAACTGTCTAGGAGGGCTATTTGTGGGGACTGGGAACACATGGGAATGAGGAGGGTCCCAGCCCCACAGAACACATAGACAAAGTCTGTGCCTCCAGAACACTGAGGCCTTCGGAATTTTAATCAAGGTCACCACAGCCTGCCCTACCCAGTAGTCCTCAGGAAGGCATTTGCAAGCTCTGTGAAAAGCAACAGTCCCCCATCCCTTCTTACTGAATAACTAAGTATCTTGATTTTGTCGTGTGTTTCAGCTGGGAAGGGCTACCCCTGCAAGACATGTAAGATAGTGCTGAACTCCATAGAACAGTACCAAGCTCACGTCAGCGGCTTCAAACACAAGAACCAGTGAGTAACCATCCTTTGAAATTCAAGGGTCTGCAGCAGGAGCTCAGGCTTCAGAGTCAGAACAAAGTCAGTTAGTCCTCAGCTGAAATGGAACATTGTAACCTTTGCAGTCAACAGAAGATGAATCACTTAACAGGCAAGTTTTTCTCTATGGACCAGCTGGGCTGAAGGTTTTAGTAGAGAACCATAGATGATTTCCCTTAGGGTCCCCAGAGTACCTAAGTTCCCTGGCCTGTAGCAGTCTGGTCATCACTGTCATTAGTTCTGTGGCAGGAGCTCCCTCTACAGATTATTACCAAATAAGACCAGATTCTTTCACTCAATGATCAAATAGTTACCAAGACGGACCCAGTCCCTCACAATCTTACATTCTAATGGGAGGAGACAAACTAATTAAATAGCCAACCAGTAAAACTTGTGGTAGGTGCATCAAAGGGACAGGTGAACCTAAAGTCATAAGACTGACAGTGAGGAGCATTCGCTGGGCCCTTGTTCTGTTGCACACCCTAGGCCGAACTAATTATCTCACAACAACCTGGAAGGAAGGGATTATTACTCTGGCTTTACAGATGTAGGCAGCCAGCATTCAAAGTACTGCTGTGACTCAGACCAAAGCCTGTGTGGCTTGCATCATGCTCCTCCAGGACACCATGCTGAGAAGGAGGCTGTGGCCCCAAGTGATGTGAAGAGACTAGAGCCCAGCTAGGAGGATGCATGTGATCCTGTCCCTCCTCTCCAGAGAGAAACGTGATGTGAGCAGTGTGCTTCTGAGCTGGGCGTTATATCCCCATTTTACAGATGAGGAAAGAGTGTCACGCAGGCAAGTCTGCTGAAATGATTGCTTAGACTTTGGTGGTTGATTCTGCATTACTCATTGAGCCAAATGAATTAGAGGTGATGAAAATACAGAGTATTGGAGTAAAAAATATCCTTGGTCCTGTCTACTGTGCCTAGAGTTTCTTCTTCCACAATTTACCAGCTCTTCCTCCTTATCTGATATATCTTTAATTTGGAGGATTCTTAGGCATATTTTGGGTACAGACCAGCCCCAGAATCTCAGCCTAGTGCTCACAGTGTTCTAGCATAACTTCCTTGCAGTTTAGCTGGTGGCAGTTTCAGTAGACAACCTGGAGCCAGCCAAAGCCCTGCCTTGAACTGCTCAGACTTGAAAATGCTAGTGTTGGTCAGGAGTGGTGGTATCCATCCATAATCCCAGGACTGAGGAGGCTGAGGGAGGACCATGAGTTTGAGGCCAATTGAGCTACCTAGAAAGATACTGTCTCAAAAGAGAAAAAAAAGGGAAGACAAGAAGAAAAAGTAGGAAGAAGAAGAGGGAGGGAAAGGAGGAAGGAAAGGAAAGACTAGTGTTACTTGCTGTCCTCTTTCTAAACTTCCCAGCTGTATAACCTTGGGCAAGTCAATAAACATCTGTGTGGGGATGGAAACATGGTTCAAGTGGTAGAGCTCTTGCCTTGCAAGCACAAAGCCCTGAGTCCAGACCCCACTACTACCAAAAAAAAATTAAAATGTTAAAAAATAAACCTCTCTGAGCCTATAATTCTGTAAGACTAAAGCTACAGTTTGTTGAAGAAATCAGTAATTCAGTATCATTAAATTCTCAACAACAGCTCTGAATTAGGACATTTCCCTTTTATAACCAAAAGAAACCTAATGTCAGTTAGGTTAAATGACTTGCTCAAGGTCACATAGTTACTTGGAATTAGACTGATTCATACCCATTTGACTCCAAATCTCATGTGTTTTGCTCTGCTGCTACCAAATGGAGCTCTGCCACACCTTACAGACTGAGAATTAGAGGAGTACTGGTACCAATAAATTTATCTATTAAAGATAAATGTTCATTCATTCAACAAATATTTAGTCAACACTTAGGCGCTGTGCCAGGTCCTGATTTGAGCACTAGGGCTGCAGTAGGAGTCAAGACCACTGTTGTCTCTAATCCTTTGGAATCTCCCACTAGAGGTGAAAGCATATTCCAAACAAATCCATAAACAAATGAGATAGCATCAGGTGGTGGTAGGTGTCCAGAAGTAGGTTAGAGTGGCAGGAAAGCCACTTTCCACTGAATATGGGGGGAGAATGACACGAAATGAGGTTGGTGCAGGACCCTATAGGCAAAGTAAATGCTTTGGTATAGTGGAAACGTATGGGCTGCAGTCTAGAATATACCACCTAAAGACTTAACTTGGGCCAGCTGGTTAAATTTTCTGAACATTAGTTTACTTGTGTGTAAAACAGGATTGCTGTTCCTCACTATGCACCATTGCCACAAGGATGTAATGGGAAGATGCAAGCTAAACACCCAGCACACAGTAAAAAGAGCCACCTGCTTATTGCTCCAAGGTTCTAGAAGAGACATTACCACTAGAGCAAGCTACTAGGCACACCATGCCACACACTGATCCTATGCCATTATTATTCTCAAATTACAGGTCACCAAAAACAGTGGTATCGCCCTTGAGCCAGATTCCAGTGCAAAGGCAACCCATTCCAAAAGACTCAAGCATACTGGAAGATTAAAAGTGTTTCTGTTCAGCCCCACGTGGGACCAGCCATGAGCCAGCTTCCTGTGACTGTTGTCAGCCCTTGGCTCCCTCTTCCTCCTTTCTTACACCAGGAGAATATACAGGCCTAAGGCAGAATTGGGCTGCAGAGAACTTCTGATTAGTCCAGGCAAATCCACTCCTGCTCCTCTCCTTTGATGTGGGCCCCATAGGTCATGGCCAGGAAGACAGGGGTCTTGAGAGGACTTGGTGTAGTAGTTTGGAGGCTGGCCTTCCCCCTTTCCCCAGACCTCCTGGGCCATATATCCTGTGGCTCTAATGCCTGTCTTCCCTCTGGAGGTCAGTGTTGGGCCAGTTCTAGCAGCTAAAGAACAGAGCTGTCCCTGGGTGCCAGGCATCTCCTGTGAAACCTGGAGATTCCTTGCAGACTTTGCAGGACAGGAAACAGTAGATGGAAGTGGCTGCCACAAGGGAGCCACTCCTCCCTCCAGAATGAACAGGATTTCCTGAGCCTTGGATCAGATGCTGGTCAATGGTGCAGGTTTCTGCCAACCACAGTCTCCTCCTGGAACTCCTGGCAGTGCTGCCATCCCTGCTCCCCATCTGCACAGTTCCCGAATGGTGCTAAGGACCTGCAGCAGCTGGGAACAAGCTGGAGCTCGAAGAGTCCTCACTACCCAGTGGGATCACAGGAGGCTCCCGTAGGACCTTTTCCCTCCTTCATCAGAGGTGCTCTGACTCAGAGTCATGTGGGAAAGGCCCCTACCTGCCACTGTCCTTGATGGCTCTGTGCCCTTACAGGCAAACTGCCTCGTGCCAGCCAGCTGAGAGGTTAACTGCTGCTGTCAGCCCTTTTAAACGCCTCCTTCCCCTTGTGCAGCAGATCACCCCGCCAGGTGCTGTGGTGCTACCCTTCCCTCATCCACAGGGAGATTCCTGGTGCCAGGGAGCCACAGGGGCCATGGGGAAAGGATGAAGAGTTGATACCAACTTCTGTAGTGAAGAAACAGATGGTCCCAGGCCCCAAACCAGATTTCTCTAACTCTCCTGTGTTTGTGGCCTGGGACTTCACTGAGAGTAGATTTTTCCTTGTAGTTTGGAGCAAGAGTTTCAGGGAGTGTCACTGTCTGAGGCCCCTCTTCACTGGGTTAAAGAACCCCAGCTGCTGTGTGACCTCCTCCTCCACTCCCTGTCCTTTCGCCTGTAAAATGCCTTTGCGTACTGTGTGTGTGCTTACGCTCTGTCTCTTGGTCACTGAATCATCCAAATAAAGAATTTCTTCCAGGAACTAGATTGCAGCTTAACAGACCTGGGGTTTGGGGCCATGTTGCCATTGGATCTAGTTTATCTGTCTTGACCCAATTCATCATCACACACTAAGACTTCACACACTCAGACTTCTAGGGCCCTTGGTACTGATCTTAGGAGTTGGGATAGATAGATATCCAGATTGCTTGGCAACCCCATTAAAGTCTTTCTGGTTCCCCAAACTCAGCACAGCTTCCTCCACTCTTCCACCTCTCCCTTTCACATCATAGGGCTTCCTGGAGGTCTTTGGAGGATCTAAGCTGGGGCTCTGCTTTATGCTTGAGAGAGTCATTCTGACTGGTGTTTGGAGAGGACTGCAGGGAGCAAGGAGACAGGAAGGCTGTGTCCAGCACTGGTCTCTCCACAGTCCTCCTTTCAGGCTGGTCATTTTCACTTCCCTAACATCCCAAGTTCTGTGTCTTGGTTGAATGAATGGATGAGGGTGCATTTTCCGGCTCAACTTACAAAGCAACAGGTTTGCCCTATGGGTCTTTATTGTAGGTTAGGTGGTTCCTGGAAGAGTCTTTTCCATGATCCAGAAATGACAGAGGAACAGTGTTATGGCCTCAGGAGCCCTTTGTCCAGCCTTTGCTACAGACAACCAGACCACGCAGCCTCAGCTCCCATTCCTCACTCAGCAGACTTCCTGGGCACCTGTTCCTGGCCAGCTGTGAGAGGCTCTACTCGGCCCCAAGGGCAGGTTCTTGGCTCCCAACTTCCCTGCTTAAACCACCTCAGCAATTTCCCCAGCATTCTGTGCTGCCTTGTGGGTCAGAGTCAGTCCAGTTACCAGGCAAGGAAGTAAATGGGCAGAGGTGTGAATGGGCTGCCCTGTTAAGAGCCCATGGCCTCCAGAACCTCTTTAGATTCAGTAGTCCCTGCCAACTGCATGACCAGCATTGTTGTGGAGACACTAGAGGTGAACTGTTTCTTGCCCTTAGGGAGATCATGTGCTTTTTTTTTTTTTAACTCAGGGCCTCATGCTTCCAGGAAGGCACTTTTATCAGTTGCGCCATACCTCTAGCCACACTGTTGTTGGTTTGTTTTGTGGTACTGGGGTTTGAACTCAGGGCCTACACCTGAGCCACTCCACCAGACTTTTTTTGTGAAAGGTTTTTTTCAAGATAGGTTCTCACAAGCTATTTGCCTAGGCTGGCTTCCAACCATGATCCTCCTGATCTCTGCCTCCTGAGTAGCTATAATTACAGGTATAAGCCACTGGCTCCTGACAAATTAGGTATTTCCTTTTAGCTTAGTGGATATGTTTTTTTGTCTAGATCTGCCAAAGTTCTACCAGACAACAGTCCCATCTGAGAGATCCAGTTGTCCCACCTCCTTGTCAATACTGAGTATTGTCAGTTGTTTTAAATTTTGTCCATTCTGATGGCACCCAGAAATTTAAACCCAGGGATTCTCAACTTCAAATCAGGCTTGAATTTTCGTGGCCTGGAATGGTGGTAGATGTGAGTACACAGGATGATACAGCAGATAAATATTAGATGGAGCTCCTGCCCTTGGTTCCAGTGCCCCAGCATGGGCTCACAAAGAGGAATGGGACCTGAATGGAGAAAGCAGTCCAGTGCAATGGCAAGGAAGTCAGGTTCTGGAATCACAGCCATGTTTAGATTCCAGGTCTAGATCAGAGCTGTGTGTGATCTCAGTTAGTTAACCTCTGCCTCATTGTGAAACATCAGTACCTACCTCATACAGTCATTGTGAAAATTAAAGAGCTAGATACATATGAATAATTGCAGCAGCTCACATGATAAGCACTATGGAAATGATGGCTACTGCTGTCTATTGTTGGCCTGAAATAAGCCCTGGGTCCCCATGAAGAAGTGAGGCCACAGACGTCTGGATGATTCCTATGTTAAGATTCAATGGCGTTGGCTCATGCCTGTAATCCTAGCTACTTAGGAGGCAGAGATCAGGAGATCAAGGTTCAAAGCCAGCCCAGGCGAAGTTTTGAGAGATCCTATCTCGAAAAAACCCTTCACAAGAAACAACCCACCAGGAAAAAAGAGCTAGTGGAGTGGCTCAAGTGGTAGAGTGTCTGCCTAGCAAGCATGAGGCCAAGTTCAAACCCCAGTACTACCAAAAAAAAAAAAAAAAACCGGTTTACAACAAATGCCAGAATTCATTCTGACAAAAGTAAAAAGGACAATATTGACCAGAAGTGATTCTTCTGTGGACTCACAGGAAGTCACCTTTCATTGCCAGAAACCCCAGCTTTTCCAGGCCCCCTACCCCAAGTCTGCTGCCTATGAAACCTCAGAAATGGAATCACAAATAAAATGAAATTGATGCAATGGAAGCTGGGGTGTAGTTCAGTGGTTGAGCACTTGCCTAGCATGAAGTGGGGCCCAAGGGAAAAAAATGAAATGGTCAGGGCACTGGTGGCTCATACCTGTCATCCTAGCTACTCAGGAGGCAGAGATCAGGAGAATTGCGGTTCAAAGCCAGCCCAGACAAATGGTTCATGAGATGCTATCTTGAAAAAAATCCATCACAAAAAAAGGACTAGTGGAGTGGCAAGGTGTAGGTCCTGAGTTCATACCCCAGTACCACCCCCCCAAAAAAAAAATGAAATGGGATTGAAGTCATGGTCTCAGCTCAGAGCTAGATGAAAGCAAGTGTTTGAACTGCAGTAACCGCCAGATCTGTACATATACCCATACAGTCACAGTGCAACATGGGAACACCAGCCTGGGAGTCAGGGCTCCTGGGTGTTGCTCTGAGGCCCTTATTCTATAAAATGGAAGTTGGAAGAAACCACAGTTCCTTCCCAAACAAGATTGAAGAAAGAAGCCCTTCCTGCATAGCAGCCACTGCCCAGGAGCTGCTCTCACCCACTCAGACCCTCTGCTGCAGTCACTAGTGTCAAAAACCAACAGGAAAAACACCTCCCTCTTACTGTTCATCATCCCAGCCTCACCTCCTCTGCTTTGTGCCAAGTCCACATTACAGAGAAAGATCAGACTCCCCTTCTTTGCCTCTCCCTGGCCATAAAGGTTTCATCAGTCTAGGAAAGGTAAAACGGTTCCGTAAAGGGTCCACTTGCCATGCAATCACCCCAGTGGCCACTAGGTGGAGATGCTACTTTGTTGCAGCCAAAATAGAGCAGCTCCTGGACCTTACTGTTATGATAAAGGCCCAAGAGGACAGGGGAACTTTAACAGAGCCTCTGCATTTCATATTATATTTAATCCTCAAGACAAATGGAAAAGGAGAAACCAGGGACAAAGTCCTTGAAGAGCTTACACAAACAAATAGCCTTGGAGAGATTTAACCTCATGCTCCCAATTCCTTGTTTGTATAATAGGAGTCTACTTCCCAAGGCTGCCTCACCCTTGCCTGGGGACATTTCATTCAGGAAACAGCTCTCAGAAGACTGTAAATGCAGTCACTAGCCTGGGACCAACCTGATGGCTGAGTTGCTCAGCATCCTTTCTTTTATCTTTTCCCTTGGGACACTTCTGTGCTCCATTCTTTGACCTGTGGTTCATAGGGAGTGATCACATCCCCCAACTGCAGAGGGAAAACCTGTCACCCAACCTGGCAATCACAGTCCTAAATCTGGAGCTGTTAGTGGTTTTTGTTTGTTTGTTTGTTTTCTTTTTAAGACAGAGCCTTGCTATGTAGTCCAGCCTGGCCTGGAACTCGTGCTCCTCCAGCCTCCACCTCCTGAGTGCTGGGATTAGAGGTATGCACCATCATACCTGGCTATTAGTGGCTATTTTTCCCAATGTGTAAGGATAGACAGTCTGCCTGAGAATCAAGGCAACACAGAGGAAAACAGCTAAATGATGAGAAGAGACTGATTACTTTTTCTTTTTTCTTTTTTTTTTTTTTTTTTTGATCTCTTCTTTTCGGT